CAATCTTAGCAACTTGCAAGATTTGTGGACTTCAACTCCCAGAATTCCCCAGCCAGCCTGGAATAGAATTCTGGGAGTTGAAGTCCACAAATCTTGCAAGTTGCTAAGATTGGACCCTCCTGGTGGCGATGAGGTGGCTAAGACGCTGAGCTTGTCGATCAGAAAGGTCGGCAGTTCGAATCCCCAGCGCCGCGTAACGGAGTGAGCCCCCGTGACTCGTCCCAGCTTCTGCCAACCTAGCAGTTCGAAAGCAGGTTAAAAAAAAAAATGCAAATAGGAAAATAGGGACCAGCTTTGGTGGGAAGGGAACAGCGTTGAATCATGCCGGCCACATGACCACAGGGGCGTCTTCGGACAGCGCTGGCTCTTCGGCTTTGAAACGGAGATGATCACCGCCCCCTAGAGTCGGGAACGGCCAGCACAGATGTGCGAGGGGGGAAATCTTGGATAAAGGCATTTTCATTTTGCAGGCTGCCAAAAGGAGGGGCCATTTGACACGTTGTAAGCAAAACTGGACAGACTGTTTACAAATTCCCCAGCAAGACCGACAGGACGCAGCCACATTCCGTACTCTTGGCATGTGGCCTTCAAAAGTGGCTGGGAGAGGATGGATGCTGGTCAGACCAGCTTTAAGCTGAACTGTGTGTTTTTCCTCCCAAAAGGGGCCATTAAATCCCTTCCAGGTTCCCACCTCGCACACATGGGCTAGTCGTTCCTGACTCTAGGGGACAGTGCTCATCTCCAATTTCAAAGGCAACTGAATGGAAGTAGCAGAGTTTTAAGGGCCGGATGCCTTTCATGTTGCCAGGGAGGAGTTTTTGTTTAGCAGATATATATCCTCAATGTGCCCGAAGAGAAAAATATCTGGCTAGGATGGGGATAGGGATAGAACCCCAAAGGCTCTGATGCTTAGCCAAAACACGGAACCTTGTCAACTCGGGACCATCCGGAGGCTTCGGGGGCGACTCCCCGCTCCATAAGCCCCTGCTGTTGTTCTCCCCAGGCTTGAGCATTTCGGTCCACTCCTGATTGGAGCGGTAGAGGTTGGCTTTACGGACGGCGCTGCAGGCCGAGCAGGCGGGGTGGTTCCCCGGATGGGGAGGAGGCGCACAGGGCCGAGGGGGGATCCTGCCCAGGTCTGCGGGGGCATCTCTGCAGTCCCCGCTGGCTTTGTCGAAGAACCTGGGCGCCAAACATCCTACGGTCGCCGCGCAGACGTTGGCCTCAAGCCAATGTTTGTGTCGCGGCGAAGGGGTCAGCTCCGGCGTCCAAACTGTTTCCCTGGATCTGGACGCCCGGGGATTGTCCAGCTGCGTGTCCGAGCGTTCTCCCATCTCCCCGCTGCTCCTGGGAGTGCTCAGCATCCCCTCTTCCCGACGGAGGCATCTGGGATGGCGAAAGGGCCCATGGTGTCCATGCTTCGCCTGCTGTTCTTGCTGCCTGTTTTGGGCTGGGCAGGAGTGCCCGGCTTTTTTCAAAGGGCAATCGGGGAGGTGGACGAAATGGGTGGGGATCTCCCGTCCGACTTCGCCGCCGAGGGAATCTCGGTCGCCGCTGCTCTCGAGATCCGCCAAAACCATCCCTGGGCTGAAAACAGGAACAAATTTGAGGCCCGTAATGCGATTGAGACGGCGCTGAGGTTAATATAATTCCTTCTGCCCCCCACCCTCCGCCCCCAAAGCTGTTTTACCTTCCATCCCGCGATCCTGCCCTGTGTTTCTCCTGGGAAGTTTCCAGGTGGAAATGCAAGAACTGGAGATCCTGCTGCTGCTTCAGGTAGATCTGGGAACAGGTAAGACAAAATAAGCCATCGAGCCCCGGGAAGGTGGAGATTTTTAACTTCGGGGACATTCAGCCTCGAACTACGATGTCGAATCTATGGCAGGTTGTCCCGACAAAAACCCCTTTTATTAATTGACTGTGANGAGAGAGAGAAAAGGAGAGGGAGAAAGAGAGAGAGAGAGCACACAGAGAGAGAAAGAGAGAGGGAGAGAGAGAGAAAAGGAGAGCAGAGAGAGAGCAGAGAGAGAGAAGAAATAGAAAACACACACTTAAAAGATCCGCATTCATGTGTTTTATATCCCACCCAAAACGAAGGCTTTGCATTTTGCATTAGAGAAGACCCTAGAACACGCAGAGATGGATAAATTGACCAAGGAAAGGAAGAAGCAGAGCATTATTTAATTTGGGGAAAATGGCACAAGTGGCTAGAGGAGAGAAATAAAGATTTGAACAAGGTAGTTTGTATTATGGAAGAAGTGGGAACTAGGGACAAAAGTCTTAAGAAAAGTAGGATTTACAAGGCTAGGAAAAATTGTACATTAGTAGAAGAAGAATGAAGACTGCCTGATACAAATAACCAAAGATAGATTGATAAGTAAGAGAGAAAGAAATAATAGGATTAAAAGTGTAAAATTACACAGAAATGTCTTGGGAGGGAAATAGTGTTTGTGAAGAGCCACCATTATCTGCTGTAAGGAGGGACATGTAGTTCTGATGTGATTTGTAAACGCTGTATGTGTTTTTGTCATTGTGTTTATGTTTTTACAATAAAAAAATTAAAAAATAAGATCAGCGTTCGTGTGTTTTACCTCCAACCCCTCAAAAAAAACAAAGTCTTTGCGTTTTTTTATTCGGATTCTCAATGTCGCCTTAAATCGGTGAGAACTTTTAAAACGTTACTTGGAAATAAAATGCAGCTGGGGGGGTGCGCAGAATCTCTCCTCCCCAGCGTAAAAACATAGCGTCCCATTTGAAGAACAAATTCATACAGTCTGAGATGAACCTTTGGTGAGAATCCCCCCCCCCTCCGCGCCCGCCAATAAATGCAGGCGCTATAAAAAGTTCTCCCGGGCAGAGATCCCATCTCCGAACCACGCCAGTTCATCTGCCATCTTTTGCCAAGGTCTCCTCTCCTTCCCTGGGCTCCGGCAACTATTTTTAAAACCCCGAGCTGTAAAAACTTTTCAGCCAGGGAGCCAAGCCAGATTTTAACCGTCTCGTGGTTTAAAAGAGACGAGGTCCCGGTGGCTGGAAGACCAACCGTCTTTGCTGCTTGCACCACCAACGCCGGGGCGGGAGTGGGGGTGGGAAGGTCGTAGGAAGGGCATAAGTTGACAAAAGCAACGGGGCGAAGGGAAAATTGTGCCCGTTGGGGTTTAAGTTGGCGAACGGCCGGGTGCCAATTCTGGGCCTGCTGCATGGGACCCCCAAAGCAGGTGGAGACACAAAAAGGATATTTTTATGCAATACCTTTTTGGGGGAGGGAGGAAAAAGTCTCTTGCGGAGATTTGCAAGGGTTGACAGCCTTTCCAGAGAAGAAAGCTGCCTGCCCACAAATCGCTTCAAAAAGTTACCCGGATCAAAAAACCTCACACCCAATTTTCTGAAAATGGTATCCGCTGGTCGCCTGTGGGAGCTTCCAGTTCATCACAGGTGGCTCTGCAAACAATTGTTTCCCAATTTGAATAGAATAGTATAGAGCAAGAATAGAACAGAATAATAGAATAGAACAGAAATAGAACAGAATAGAATAGAATAAAACAGAATAGAACAGAACAGAATAGAATAATAGAATAGAACAGAACAGAAATAGAAAAGAACAGAATAGAACAAAAATAGAATAGAATAATAGAAGAGAACAGAAATAGAACATAACAGAATAGAATAGAACAAAAATAGAATAGAATAATAGAATAAAATAGAACAGAACAGAAATAGAACAGAACAGAATAGAACAAAAATAGAATAGAATAATAGAATAAAACAGAAATAGAACAGAACAGAATAGAATAGAACAAAAATAGTACAGAATAATAGAATAAAACAGAAATAGAACAGAACAGAATAGAATAGACAAAAATAGAATAGAATAATAGAACATAACAGAACAGAATAATAGAATAAAATACAAGAGAACAGAAATAGAACAGAATAGAATAGAACAAAAATAGAATAGAATAATAGAAGAGAACAGAAATAGAACATAACAGAATAGAATAGAACAAAAATAGAATAGAATAATAGAATAAAATAGAACAGAACAGAAATAGAACAGAATAGAACAAAAATAGAATAGAATAATAGAACATAACAGAATAGAATAATAGAATAAAATACAAGAGAACAGAAATAGAACAGAATAGAACAAAAATAGAATAGAATAATAGAAGAGAACAGAAATAGAACATAACAGAATAGAATAGAACAAAAATAGAATAGAATAATAGAATAAAATAGAACAGAACAGAAATAGAACAGAATAGAACAAAAATAGAATAGAATAATAGAATAAAATAGAACAGAACAGAAATAGAACAGAATAGAACAAAAATAGAATAGAATAATAGAACAAAACAGAACAGAACAGAAATAGAACAGAATAGAACAAAAATAGAATAGA